CCTCCCTCGCTTCCTGCATCTGCTGCTGGGGGCCTTTCCCTTCTTCTTCTTCTTCTTCTTTTTGCCCCCCCCCCCCGCAGCATTCGCGTCCTTCTTCGGGGGGTTTACCCCCTTGACTCCGCTCCCCCGGTCGGCCCCGGGAACCGGGCGGCCCCACGCGGCGCCCCCTCCTCCCCCTCGAGGGTCGGAGGGGCCCGCTGCAGGGCCGCTATCACGGGCCCCGCCGCCGACCAAGGACCGGATCGTCTCCTCCATCCTCTGGAGGGACTGGGCGACCACCTCCTGAATCCTCCTCTCCACCATCTCCCCCGTGAGCTCCCCTGCCTTCCCAGGCAGGGGCCTCCCCGCCTGCTTCCGCGGGGGGGGGGGGACGGTGAAGAGGATTCCTTCGCGGGGGTTTCGGGATCGGCCCGCTTTCTCGAAGCGGACCTCTCCCTCTTCCCCACCCGCGTCTTCCCCGCCCCCGACGTCGAGGCCCGGGACGTGCCAGCCGCGCCCGGCGTGACGACGTCCCAGGTCCTCTTTTCCGGAGACGGGGGATCCGCCGTTTTCCCGGGTGGAGGAGGATCCTCCGGTAGCCCGGTGCTGTCCACCTCATCTTATGGCCCCCTCAAAACCAAACAACTTTTGCCTGAAACATTTTTCTCTCCCGGGCTTGGTTTTCGAGATATTCAACTGGATGGATTAAAATGGTCCACCCTGTATATTGGAAGACTTTTCAACTCAAAGCTTATATTAGAACAAAGATTTTGAAATATATTGAGAAAATTCATTAAATGTGAAAGAAAATGCTCAATTGGAAAAAACGTTGCTGTAAGTATTTTTGATTATATTTGATAAATTATTGAAATTTAAATTTAATGTGTTTGTAATTCTTTTGCCTCTCGATTCTTCCCTATTTCTTATTTTAAACGAACCACGCTTGAACCAAGAATGGCAGCCAGACTAGAAGAATAACGATTGGTTTATAACTAGAAAACCAGTAATAACCCAGAACTGCACCATTAGTTTCCAAGCAGTATCCCAATCTTATAATTGATTCTGGCCCAATCACGGGCCAACGCTGGGAACTTATGTAAGGCCGATGACTGTTATTCTGAATTGGCCATTACTTGATAACCATTCTTGGCCCAACGTTATCATTCCGGATTTAAACCAAGGTTGAACCTATTCTGGTTAAGATACGGGTGGTAAGGCTGGGAGAGTGGCTACCATACTTGGACCATGCCTGGCCCGTTAAATTTTTCTTACCTGGGGAGTGCGAAATATTGAGGTTACCGAAAATGACGTTTAAACTAAGGCTGCGGTCCCATGGACTGATATTTCTCGCGTAACGCGTATCGCGTAACCAATCAGAAGCGTTCCGCGTTTTCTATTACGCCTGTGTCAAATGTCATCGTTCACATAGACGAAAAATTTGCGTAGTAGATACTCGCGTAACCAATGAAGTGTAACATTTAGAAATTCTGTTAGAACGTGCCAAGAGAATTGATATCATTGGTTGTATCCGATAAGCTGCTGTTGTTTTGTGTTCCATGTGCACTAAGGACATTCAATTTCGCGTAACAGAAAACGCGGAACGCCTCTAATTTTAATGTCACGTAAATGTACAGATATGCGTACATGTGTAAATACATAGTGCATTATATAACCTCTAAAATGAGTTTGCAAATATTGTCATCTATTCTTGCATTACAAAAGCATAGAATTAAAAACAAAGGATTATAAGATATCAACTATAAAATTAAAAAATTAATTGTTCTTTTTTTATTGTCTAAAGAAAACGAGCAAAACAAAATGAAGAGAAAATATTGGATTCATCTTATTTTTTCTACCAAAAATCGAACACAATATGGAGCGAGTGAAACTTTAATAAAAGAATTATATTTTTACAACGATGAAAAATTCATTAATTTTTTCCGCATGAATGTAGACGTTTATGAAAAATTATTAAATGCTGTTGGACCATATCTAACGAAACAAAATTGTATTCGAGATCCAATACTGCTAAATACACGTTTACAGATATGTCTTCGTTATTTAGCTGCAGGAGACAGTATGAAATCTCTTTCCTATGCGTTTCGAGTAGGGACAAGTACTGTTTCAAAAATTGTGTTTGAAACTTGTAAAGCAATTTGGACTGCATTACGAGATGAAGTTTTTCCACAATTAAACAACTCATGGAAACGTATAGCAAGTGATTTTGAAGAAAAATGGAATTTTCCTCACTGCATAGGAGCTATAGACGGCAAACATGTTGTAATTCAGGTATGTCAATTTCTAAACTTATTTTTTTTACTTTTACTATATGTAAAAAAAGGATTATATTTAAATTGATAAATAGGCTCCTCCCAACAGTGGATCCATTTACTATAATTACAAGGGTCAGCACAGTTTGAATTTACTTGCTTTGTGTGATGCACAATATCGATTTATCGTGGTAGACATTGGAGCAGAAGGACGACAAAGCGATGGTGGAGTTTTTAGAAATAGCAAGTTGTATACTGGATTACAAGAAAATTCTCTACAAATACCATCACCAGAAATTGTTAGTGTTGGAGGTCCTAAATTACCATATGTAATTGTTGCTGATGAAGCCTTTGCTTTAAAAGAATATATGATGCGACCATATTCCCGGAGTCAAGAACTTGATCGGAAAAAAAGATTTTTAACTACAGATTGAGTCGTGCAAGACGTGTAATAGAAAGTTCTTTTGGAATATTAGTCGCAAGATGGCGAATTTTTAGAAAACCAATTATAGCGTCTATTCCTTTAAATAACAGTATTATACAAGCAACATGCTGTTTACACAATTTTATAATTAATCATGAAAGTAATAATCGATATTTTTCTACTATAACATCAATTGATCGTGAAGTTGCACGTGAAGCTCTTGAAGATTGTGTAAATGAAAAAAATTTTTCTTGTAAAAATGCGGCGATTATAAGAAATACATTCGCTGAGTATTTCGAAGGAGATGGTGCAGTTACATGGCAGTGGGAAAAGGCATTTCGCAATGAATTTTGAACATTTAATTTCAAAATCAAATATCTAAATATATGTTATTCAAAATTACTTACATGCTAAAAAATGTGATAAAAGGTTCTTTTTTATTTATATACAGCACTAAGGATATAAGGAATTTAAATAAGTTATAATATACAATAAATTTAATGTATCAATAATAACTTTTATTAAATATATTTCTTGAACATTTATTATTTGATATTATAGAAAAATAAAACTAAAATATGTAATTATTATCACAGACATGTAAGTACAACTAAACGTATATTTGAACTGTTACACCCATAACAATTTTTTAAATAACATGTCTTAAACCTCATTAACTTTGTTATATCCCTATC